AGCAGGAATTAACCCCCCTCCTTCAGGCACTGTCCCGGGGGCGCCTTCTGCTCTGCATGATTGCCCTTGTCTTGCCAAGCAAGGACTAGGTCACGCCAGGAGGAACGGGGTAGCAGTGGAAAGTGAGGGCACAGCGGGGAAAGCCCAGCTCGCTCCCCTTCAGCCTCTGCTCTCTGCCCCTGCGAGACGTGGGACTTGGCACGGGCCGGGGCGGAGGAAACGAGACCCCCGTTAGTTCTGGGGGCTGCTGATGACGTGCTGCAAATTACTTGGGCCAAGTCGTAAGGAAACGGGGATGGGTGCGTTGTCATAACAAGCAGGGCACGGAGCAGAGCGCGCCGGGCAGCGCCCGTTGCCCTCGAACGAGTCCACAGAGCCAGCGGACGCTGCTGGGGGGGGGCATGTGACTTTGTGAAAGGATGGGCTAGTAACACCCCCCTCCCCGCCAATCCAAATCACTGTGTGCCAGGACTGAGTGGCAAAGCACCCCACCCCAGCTCAGGCTAGCCCTGGCAGGCTTGATGCCCGAAGGTGGGCCGTCTCTTTCCAAGAGGTTGCATGAACTGTTGGGAGGGACACTGACAACGGTAGGGGGGTGCTTTTATTTATTTATTTTGGCAACTGGCCTGCCCCTGGCTGTAGTGCTGCAGTGCCAGTGGGTGCACGTGGGCACTGCCTGAGGCTTTGGTGTGGCCTGGGCAGGCCCGAGGGACGTGGTAGGCCCTGTAGCTCCTTGCCAGCCAGGGCAAAAAGGCAGGAACTTAGTTGTTTTTGTGGGGGAAAGAAGGCAAGGCAAGTTATTGCTGCCATCTAGCTGAAGACGGCCTAGCCCTGATGGTAGCTGAGCATCTGGCCTGCCTCCCTTAGGGGCTGATGACTCCAGTTCAACATTGTGCCGCCCCCGCAACGGTTCCCCAACATCACCACCACCTTGAGCCCTTGGGATGGTGCCTCTGCCTGGGAGAGGGGCAGTCCCATCCCTTGTATGCAGTGTGGGGGGAGATGTGCGTGTGCGTGTGCATGTCCATCCCTGTCTGTCCCGTGGTGATGCAGACAGCAGGTTGTTGGATGGGGGGAGGAGGGCGGGGGGTGGCAAGGCTAAGCCAGGTTTACTTACAGCTGTAAGGAGGGGCCCAAGGTGCTCACATACTGGGACAACTGGGGTGGTTGGGGATCGGGGTGGAGGCTGAGGCAGGAGTGGCAGTTACCCTGGCACCAGGCCTTGCATAGACTCAGCACAGGTCACTGGTGGGGGGGTACACCTGAATGTGTCTCCATCTGTGTGTGTGCATGCACATGTGTGCATGTGTGCGTCTCCATCCATAAGTGTGTGTGTGTGTGCATCTCCATCCATGTGTGTGTTTGTGCATGAGTGCGTGCATGTGCACGTGTGTGTGTGTGGGCAAGAAACACTGGCATGAAGGCAAGAGGCCAAGTCCATGCCAGTCTCCAGTGTAGAGAAGCGACTAATATTGCTGGCAAGTGAAGTGCACCTGTGTGTGCGTGTGTCTCCTTCCACTGCCCCCTCCTCCCCAGCTCTGGCCCCACAATTCCCTCAGCACCTTGGGCTGACGGCTGCCATACGTGTGGCCTGCTCCTACACCCCAGTTTCCCCGGCTTTACACCCCTCTGCCTGTGGCGGCTTTTCCAAGGCAGGGCGCAGCCCCACTCCTTTTATTTATTGTCTCCCTCTGGTGCGCTTAGCTCTCAGCTTCGTTGGGCCAGGCGGGGCATGAGCTGGGCTGTGCAGGCAGACGTGCGCTGGCACCAAGACGATTTTGTACCTCCTTGCTGTCCCACGCTGTGCCGAGGTGACCGGCTGCTCTTTCTTTTTTTTTTTTCAACATGACTGTAAATATAGATAGAGCTTTATTTTGTTAATAAGGCGAGGAGTAAAAGAGTTTCGACGTGGGGAGTCCTTGAGCTCCTTGGGTTCCATCATTAAGTTGCATACTGGGGATCTGTGAACCTCGGGAGGTTTGGGATGGTGTGACCTCCTGTGACCCCTGGCCTGGGAGCAAGGTCTGGGTCTCCTGCCCTTTATTTCTGTGCATCTTAGGCTACTTTGTGAGGTTGACCAGAGGTATTGCTCATGGGTTACGGGGAAGGTTGCAGGCTTCTGGAGGATACTGAGCGCTTTGAAACCCTTTCACCTTAGGGTTCAAAAGGGAGAGGTTGCAGCTGCTAGATGTGTGCTCAGGCTCTGTTTGCTTACAGCTGGTCTCGGTTTCTGTTCTTGCAGTCCTCGGAAGACCCTGGCAAAGAAGTGGATGGGGAAACAGCAGAGAAGAGGCGAGGTAGGAGGAAAGCCAGCCAGAGAAATAGGATGTGAAGGAAAGGGACTCTGGACAGAATCACCTCCCTGCCTTTAGGTCTCGATCATGTATTAGCCAAATTTTGGCTGTGTGAGCCTTTGGGCGAGCTCCCTGTAACCTGGAAATGGGTCTCTGCCCTTGATGCTGTTGCACTTGTGCAGCAGTCAGGTGGAAGGTGGACAGCCCTGTAAGCAAGGCGAGTGTCACCGCCACCTTGTTTGTAAAGGCCGTGGAAATGGTTGGTGGTCTTGTGCAGCGCAGCCGCCCTGTAATCGGGGTCCAGGCCAGCTGCCAGAGATGGCTGCCAACGGCGCAGGCTCCTGTAAGCAGGGTGCGTGCTGCCTCCTACCACACGAGAAGGACGGTGGATTTGAACGTGCGGATAGCCACGGCTTACAGGGAAGGTTGCAGGCTTCTGACAGATACTGAGTGCGTTGGGACCCCGAGACATAGTGACCTTCCTGTAACTCAGGTCCAGGTCTCTGCTCCTCTGTTCTGCTGCTCCTGGCACTATTAAGATGGCCTCTGCCCACACCCTGTAAACAGGGCTGCACCCCCAGCCCTTCTGGCCTGTGGGGAGGAGGCCTCGTTTAGTCCTTTGGGCTCTGTGGCTTACATGACAGGAGCCTGAGGTCGTGGCCCTTCTGTCCTGTCCACGGGGCAGCTTTGACCCCTGATGGAGACCACCTGAGGCAGCTGTCAGTTGGCATTGAGGGCTTTGCGGGTTGTCTCTGGGCTTCATGCCCCAGCAGCCAGCTGTCCGGCGGGAGCACCGCCCTGTAAGCAGGGTTGCCAGTGCCTGGGGTCACCGTTCATGGTGCCACCCTAGCAGTTCTGTCCAGAGTCCTGGCCCGTGGCATTCTGCTTGTGGCTGGCCAGGATGTCAGCAGCGGACCCCGCAGAGGTGTGCCCTCCCCACGTTCTGCAGACAGAGGACAGAGTGGCCGCAGGTCCCGGTATGGGTAAAAGAGGGAGAGAAGTTGGGGTCTGCAGACCCATTTTCCATTGTGCTGATTTGCATCCCATTTGTGTTTCGTTCTTTCTGCACCCAGGAGAAGCAGAGAACATGACAGACAAATAGGAATTCACTGATACCCAGGGCAGAAAACCATGCCAGGCAAGCAGGAGGCAAAGGTAAGAGAGTTTGGGTAAAGACTAGGGATTTGTGAGCCGTGGAAGGTTTGGAGTGCCAGGGCGTCCTGGGTCTTCCAGCTAATAAGCAAGGCACAGGTCTCTTGCTCTTTTTTATCTGAATCTTGGGCTACTTTGTGAGGTTGGGCAGAGGTGTTACCTAGGGATTACAGGGAGGGCTGCATGCTGCTGGAGGAGACTGAGCATGTTGGAACCCCTTCACATCAGGGCCAAAAAGGGAGATGCAGCCGCTCGATGTGTGCTGAGGCTGCGTTGACTTACACCTGGTCTCGGTCTCCGTTCTTCCAGTCCTTGGAAGGCCCAGTGGTGAAGGGGCGAGGCAGGAGGAAAGCCAGCCAGGGAACAGGGGTGTGAAGGAAAGGGACTCTGGGCCCAGTAACCACCCTGCCCTTACGTCTCAGTCACCTATGAGCCAAAATGTGGCTGAGGGAGCCTTGGAGCAGCGGTACCTCTGTAAGCAGGAAGCAGGTCCCGGCTCTGGAGGCTGTTGCTCTTGCAGGTGTGAGGTGAAAGGAGCCTGCCCTGCAAGCAGGAGCCTGCCCGCCCTGTCGCCTCCCCTTTGATTGTGATGCTTCTTCATTTGCTGAAAATGTTCACAAGGCATGGCTGCCCTGTAGTCGGGGCCCAGGCCCGCTGCTGATGGAGCAGGCACCTTGTTAAAAGGGTGCCTGCTGCTTCCTGCCCAGAGGCAAGACTGAGCTGTGCAGTGCCTTGACCATTGTAGCTGCCCCACAGTAAGTGTGTGAGAGCCCTGCCATAGCTGGCTGGTGGGGGAAGAGGCCCTCCTGTAAGCGGGATGCGTCTCTCTTTCCCCTTTGTGCTGGACAGGGACTGCTGGTTCCTTGAGGGTCGTGACCTTCCTGTAACTTGGGCTCAGGTCTCCAGGCTTCTCTTTTTTGCTGCCCTCGGTGCGTTACAGACACTCTCCCTGTCCCTGCCTTTCCCTCCTGTAAGCAGGGGTTGAGGTCTCATTTAGCGCTTTGGGCACTGTGGCTCCCAGGACAGGAGGCTAAAGTCACAGCCCTCTTGTCCTCCAGACACAGGGAAGCTTTGACCCCTAATTGAGAGACCGTCTCAGGCACCTGTCAGCTGGCATTCAGGGCTTTGCAGGTTGTCTGGAGGGAGCACTGCCCTGTAAGCAGGGTTTTCGGTGTTTGTGGTCACCATTCATGGTGCTGCCCTAGCAGTTCTGTCCACAGTCCTGGCCCATCGCACTCTGCTTGTGGCTGGCTGGGATTGCAGCAGCAGAGCCCGCAGTGGTGTGCCCTCCCCACTTTCCTCAGACAGAGGACAGAGTGGCCGCAGGTCCAGGTAAGGGTAAAAGAGGGAGAGAAGTTGGGATCTGTAGTCTGGTCCTCTGAAATGCTCACTTGAATCCATTGTCTGTTTTTTAAACCCCCAGAAGGAAAAGCAGGGAAGATGGCAGATGAGTGACTAAGGAAGGAAGAAACCCCCGCCAGCCCACCAGGAGAGAAAGGTAAGGGAGTTTGGATACAACGTCTGTCCTCTTTACAAGTTGCACCCCCAAGTTGTCAACCTTGTGATCAATGTGTCATGGAAGGTGGGAGCACCGGGGACCTCCTTATACACAGGATTTGTGGCTTGCATCCTCCTGCTGCCATACATGGGTAACGGCTAGGCAGGTACTCCTTTTTTAATAAACCGGAGGTATGTCACATCCCCCTTGTTTTTCAAGGACACCAAGCTCGAGAGTACAATGGGCACTGGGAGCTACATTCTTCTCTATTTTTAGGGGGCGTGCAATTCATTGCCAGCCAACTCCACTTCTGTTTTGTGTACTATTGCAGGTCCCTGCAGGGCAGCTGAAGAAGAACGAATGGAAGCAGGAAAAGAAAGCTCAGCAACAACAAGTGTGGGTTGGGGTGGGCAGGAGGGAGGGAGCGAAATGTTTAATGTATGCTTAGATAGGTACAGATGGAGACTGTTGTGCACATCTCTACACTTTCAAACACCCATTAGGAGCAAGCAGCCACATGCTTCAAGCAGCACCATGCATTCGGTCTTGGGTTGGCCCCAAATTGTGTTCGACGAGGTTGAGGCTTTGTGCTAGTTGTGCGTATTGATATGCAGCAGTCAAGAGTTTTTCAGGTTGTCTGGCTCTGCTAGTTAAGCAGTTGATCAAAATAGATGTGTGATTGAAGGCAGTGTGTAGGTTTTTCTTGGTTGGGTTGTTGAACAGTTCTCGGTGTTAGTGTAGAAATGCAAGTTTGTGCTCAGTTCTGTTTGTGACTTGGCTGTAGCTTGCAGGGTCAATTTGAGGCTGTTTGTGGTGCAGTTTGTTCGCGTCTGTAAGTTAAGGCTCCATGGGTGTTCAAAAGTGTTTAAACTCCAGCTTCAAGGGGACAAAGATCTCAACCTGTGTCCAAACAATCATAAAGGTAGTTGGCGTGCTCAGCATCAAACTGGTAGGAGCAAGTGGTCCTAAGATGTGCACAGTTGCACGATAAATGGTATAAAAAACTTCATCTTGTGCTTTTCTACAGAGAAGCTTTGGTCATTAGCCTTTCCTGTTGAGGGCTGACTGAAGGGATAAACTTTTTCATTCTGTCTGCCGATCCAATCTGTGTTCTTACGTGTTTAATGCAAATATTTCCCGTTCTGACTGGCCAATGGTAAAAGCATACGTAGCGGACTGTTCCTAGTCATCAGTTTACAATTGTTAATGCACTGTAGGAAATCAGTCCTGATTTTTGGAGGAATTAAAAAATAAAGTACAGCGAAGTTGTGGTGCTTTGTATAATTTGGTGAAGTTCAGCTGATCCTTGTCTAAAAAGAAAAAAAATAGTCCCAATAAAAATAAAATGCTCAGGAGACTTGTGAGCTTCTTGGTGTTTTTTTTTATTTTAGTTGTTTCAGACCTTCTTCTCTGAACACCTTTAGTACAAGTCTTGCTGCCTCTAATGGCAGGGTGGGTGCTTTTTCTCTAAGGGCTGGGTCCCAGCGGTGGGAAGCTGCATTGTCACCGTTGCAAGGAGAACGACTGCGTGGATCCCCAGCTGCCTCCAGGTTTTCGTGAGTCCCTTAAGTCCAGCTGCGGTCCCCTTTGCCTGTTTAATGTAATGTCTGCAGGCTTCCAGCCAGCATTACCCATGTCATCCCTGAGGGGCTGCTGAGTTCGGGGGGAACCAAACCCATTCTTTCAGTGCCATTATATAATTGTTTTTAATATATTTTTATTTCTAAAAATAAATTATATTTTCAAATGTATTACTTAATTTAAATATTGGGGAAAACCTGTAGCACATTTCCAGGGCATTTGGCTGGAAGAAGGGAATTAATATTTTTTAACCATTGAAACAAAAATGTGTTTGATTAAGAAGAGGCTTCTGATTAATGTAGCATATAAGATACACATCTACTCTTGGTTTTGACTGATTCACATCAGCCTAGCTGTTGAGCTATCTTGAGCCCAAGCCCAATAGTAGGAGCCCCTCGTGCCCACAAAGGCAGCTCAAGATGCAGACAGGACAGCTCTTGCTGTTTCGGCATTCATTGCAGCCCTGAGGAGCCGTGGTTCACGAGCCGCTCTGGTCCCTGCACCCCAGCTGCCTCCAGGTTTTCATGAGTCCCTTAAGTCCAGCTGCGGTCCCCTTTGCCTGTTTAATGTAATGTCTGCAGGCTTCCAGCCAGCATTACCCATGTCATCCCTGAGGGGCTGCTGAGTTCAGGGGGAGCCAAACCCATTCTTTCAGTGCCATTATATAATTGTTTTTAATATATTTTTAAATGTATTACTTAATTTAAATATTGGGGAAAACTTATAGCACATTTCTAGGGCATTTGGCTGGAGGGAGGGAATGAATATTTTTTAACCATTGAAACAAAAATGTGTTTGATTAAGAAGAGGCTTCTGATTAATGTAGCATATAAGATACACATCTACTCTTGGTTTTGGCTGATTCACATCAGCCTAGCTGTTGAGCCATCTTGAGCCCAAGCCCAATAGTAGGAGCCTCTTGTGCCCACAAACGCAGCTCAAGATGCAGACACGACAGCTCTTGCTGTTTCGGCATTCATTGCAGCCCTGAGGAGCCGTGGTTCACGAGCCGCTCTGCTCCCTGCACTACCCTGTCTGTCGCTTGTGCTCTCGTAGTGAAGTTCATGTCTTGATCTTCATGGTGTGGGCAGGGGCAGAGCTTTCCCCATTGACCTGTATGTTGAGTGCCTGCCATAAAGCACCCTGAAGAGCTGTGACAGTCATCTCATGGGTGCAGGGTTTTCCACATTTTCTGAAAATGGGGGCTCTTTCAAAGCCCGGGCTTAGGCACCCAACATCACTAGTCAACTCTTAATATCCTGGCCAGTGTCTTGGGGCAGGGTCACAGCACAGTGTCACCTTGCTGAGGTGCTGAGATCAGCCAAAAAGTCTGCCAAAAAGAATATTTTTTAACCATTGAAACAAAAATGTGTTTGATTAAGAAGAGGCTTCTGATTAATGTAGCATATAAGATACACATCTACTCTTGGTTTTGGCTGATTCACATCAGCCTAGCTGTTGAGCCATCTTGAGCCCAAGCCCAATAGTAGGAGCCTCTTGTGCCCACAAACGCAGCTCAAGATGCAGACACGACAGCTCTTGCTGTTTCGGCATTCATTGCAGCCCTGAGGAGCCGTGGTTCACGAGCCGCTCTGCTCCCTGCACTACCCTGTCTGTCGCTTGTGCTCTCGTAGTGAAGTTCATGTCTTGATCTTCATGGTGTGGGCAGGGGCAGAGCTTTCCCCATTGACCTGTATGTTGAGTGCCTGCCATAAAGCACCCTGAAGAGCTGTGACAGTCATCTCATGGGTGCAGGGTTTTCCACATTTTCTGAAAATGGGGGCTCTTTCAAAGCCCGCCCTTAGGCACCCAACATCACTAGTCAACTCTTAATATCCTGGCCAGTGTCTTGGGTCAGGGTCACAGCACAGTGTCACCTTGCTGAGGTGTTGAGATCAGCCAAAAAGTCTGCCAAAAAGGGATTTCTGTTTCATGGGCGTTTCTTAGGTTCCCGTTGGAAGTAAGACCAATCTTCTTGTTTAGTTATTTTACTCAAAAACTAAATAAGCCATTTTGCATATGCAATTACTCCTATAATGCCCAACCTCAACCAAGGTCCTACTATTCCCGGATGTCTCCTATGAGGTGAAACAAACAACTCCTTGCAGCACACAGAGATAAAAGAAAGAAAGAAAACAAACCCCAAGACTGTTCTGAAAAGGTCAGCTGCTGCCCCACCACACCCCACGGAGCAGCACCGGCCCCTCCCCTCTTCTCTGCCCGGCCGGTGGGCAGGGAAATGGGGCCGACGCTGCCTCCCGGCCCCCGGAGCGGTCTCGCGGGCGCTGGCTGCGGCCTTCTCCCTGCAAACGCCCAGGAGGCCCGAGCTGGGGGTGGCCCCAACGCCGGCCCCCTGCTCCAGCAGCCGCCGCCCCGCACCGAGCGCCCCGAGACCTTGCGGCGCGGGCTCCGGATCGTAGTCGGACCAATCAGGGCGGAGAGCGCACGCGGCGGCCAATCACCGCGCAGGACGCTGCAGCTCTGTCGCTCGGAGCCGCCCCCCGGAGCCCCG